CACCATTTCTATAGTTTGAAATTCACAAAAAAACGCTTGTTGAATATGTTTAACTTTCAGATAATCAGTACCTGTGCTGCCAAGGATTATTGAAAGCAGCTGGATGCCTGCCTCTATACTCCCCCCTTCTTGGAACGGCTGCCAGAACAGGTAGTCAGAAACGGAAAGCAGAGAAATATTTAAGCATCTGTGCTCTCTCTCAGGAAAACAGCTGTGGCTTCCATAGGAAGCGTTCATTTTTTCCCATCAGCCAAGACTCTGGATACCCCTGGGTCCAGTTTTGGCACACTGAGCCAAGTAGGATGCAGTTTATGGCTTAAAACTTATGAGAGAAAACATTCAGACAGTCCCATCCCTGGCAGAACATTGAGAGAAATTCCCCAGGCTGCAAGCCACATGTGGGCCTCTGACCTTTTATTAGCACACCATGGGAGAGGTTAACAATTGTTGAGACTTCAGCCCTCCCTTTGACATACAAATTAAACAATACCCAGTAGTCTTTCCAAGACAGAATCGTATTTAGGGCACAATATCCCTTTTAATCTAGAATCCAACATGGGGGGAGGGGAGAAACAACAAAACCTTAGATTAGGAAGATGATATATTTTTATAAAACTGAAGTCTGGATTGATATTTTTTCAACATTGTATAATTTTCACCATATAGTGAATTGAAACTTTTTTAAGCCAAAGTAATCATGAGATGGAAACAGTTTCTCACACGATTTTTAGCTCTTCATTTGGTCAGCACCATGAGCTATGGAGCTAAGGTTGCTCAATAGCTGGAGCCATATACAAAATACACTCAATTATCTGATTTTTAAAGATGTCCATTGTATTTATCCAAGCACATAACTGTTGAGAAAAAATACCATGTATTCAGAATTATTGATATGATGTTTGTCACAGAAAAAATGCCAAATCTGATATGTTTTTATTCTGTCTGCATTACTGCAGTGAATGAAATTGTCTTAGATTTTAGTGAGATGGGGGTTAGAAAGTACTAACTTTTAGGGGAAATAAATGCTTTCTCTGTTTTTCACCTAATGAGCTATAAACATTAAAATTCTAATCTATGGCAAAGAATGCAAAACGAATAACCCAGCATCCCAGACTTTTACTGTAACTCTTTGAGTATTCTTTCAGAGTCTTAGACAGATGATTTCGACCATAGAGTACCATATTTTTTTGTGCAGAGACTGTACTGTGCATAAAATATGAGCAAGCAAGCTCATGCTTCTGCCATCAGTGTTTTCAGCTAAAGAACCAGTGGAAGTTGATCTTTTCCCATCTTCTTGATGGGAAGCAGGTTCAAATCTGTCCAATGCTAGAAACTGGAGAGAAAATAAAAAAAAAAAAAGGAAAAAAAAAAAAAAAGAAAAAGAAAAAGAAAAAAAAAAAAGAAAAAAAAAGAGTATCAGCAGATTTTACTTTTCTTCCCCTTACTAAAGTGATAACCACATCTGAGAATTAAGATGATGAAGCATGGTTTCTGCAAAAAGTGTTTGCTGAGTAGTGGTTGCTCTATGAGCTAAGCAGTCTCATCTTTCTTGACTGCTGTTAGCAAAGCAAATGGTATTAGCAAATGTTAGTTTGAGATGAAGAATGCCTTTGTATTCATTGTGAATAAACAGAAATGCTGCACTAGCAGGGAGTCTGCACTGAAGGAGGATCAATTACAGTTATGCCATAGACACATGCCTGTATAACCATTTATATACCTTTCACAGCTTCCTTACATAGCTGTCTCTAATGCAGTACCAGCATTCCAGGTAGCAGGTCTTTTTGTCATTTTCTGTGAAAATCTTAGATTAAAAAAAAGATATATATATAACCCTATTTCATTACCTTCAGCAGTACCTTATCTTCTTTTCCTGTTGCATTATTCTTTCACATATCAGAACATTAATTTCATTGCTTCTGAGTTTTATTTTCTTCAAGGATACACAGAAGAATTTCTTCAAGCTTCCTACGAGTCTACTCTTCTAAAACTTTTATAAGTTTTATTTTCTGCTTCCGAACTATATCCAGTTAAGCTATATTTTCTTTAAATGCTTCACCAATATGGAGCAGGCAGGATGGTTACTGTGTTTTACATGAAACATTTCTGTTAATATCTACCAGACTGGTATTGACGTCTTTTTGTATCAACACTGTAAGGTTGAGGCATTTTTTGTTTGTGAACTACTCCAACACTCCAGGTTTTTTTTTCTAATGTACTCCTAGCTTTTTTGCAGGTTTTGTGTTTTGTTTTGTTTTGATTTGGCTGTTTTTCTTTTTTAATGTTAGAAATAGGCATGTGCACAGCTATATTTTTTCTCTTAAAGTCTAATTTCAATCTCATTTTGTAATATAATAATTGAATCATTATTTCTTTCCCACTGGAGGCTTTTCCTTCAGGTTAGTTGTGTACCTTCCATGCTGAAGTTTCATTTAGGTTGTATTTCTTTAGTTTTCCTACTAGAAAGTCTTGATGGGTAAGTAGGAAAATCAATGGCTTAGCCTATTTGAATACAGCTGTGGTTAATATTGAATATAGCAACTTTTACATTATCAAAAGATAGTGAGATTTGGGAATGTGAGTTTCCCAGAGAGAAAGAAGCAAGAAAGTGACACATCAGTAGTCAGAAGGAGATCTGTTTTTTTTTTTTCCATGTACAGTAATGAACACAGGGCTGGACTGACCTCAGCGTTTTTCTTTTCCTTGGAACTTTAAAAGCAGTCACATTTTACTGCTTCTGGCCTCAAAAAGAGGGTTGGCCAACATGTTGGGTGTGTTCTGTCTATCTTTGACTTGGACATGTATCTTCTATGGCAAGATTTTTCTGCATCATTGCGTGTTAATGTATTTCCTTTACTGAGAACAGCCTTCTATGTGCTCCATCCTTTTGATGAAAGGATTAATTTCTCCTGCAGACATATTGGCTTTTGAAGCAATCTTTGTGTCAAATGACTTTTAGCCTTGATCTCTGTCTTCCAAGCTTCCTTGAATACTTTTCTGGTAGTTTTTTGTTGTTTTCTTTTGTTTGTTTATCTTTTTCCCACTGTACTGGAAATCCTTTCTGTTTCTGACTCAGTTGTTTTATCCCTCTCTGCAAATTCCTGTTCCTTTCTTTCACATTTGCCATTAGTCACAGTAGCAAGCTTTTTCCCATCACTTCTTTTTAACATCTGCAGCAAAGTTTTCTTGTCAGTGATCTAATGTCTGTGGGTTTATAGTTAAAAGCTGGGAATTTTTTTTTCCTCCACAGTTTGAACGTATTCTGATTTCAGAGCTTGTACCCGGTCAGCTTTCTCATAACAGCATATTTAGCACACCAGCCATCAGAGATATTCCACTCTGCAGCCACCTTTGCCAGAGAGCTCCCAGCTAACATTACGCTCTTGGTTTTGTTCACCATCACCAATGCACATACACACAATAGCCACACTCTGAAACAAAACTCATCTATGTAGAAACATATTTTATGTTTGTAAATGATGGAGAGATTGGACACAACTTTTTCCTAAGATGATGTTGTATTAAAGTGATATAAAAATAGAGGGCTTACAGGAATTCAGTTATTCCTATGCGTGCTTATCAGGTGAATGTTGCACAGTGAGGTAATGAGCAATCCAAATTTCAAAATGTTATAATTATAAATTTTCTTCATGTGTTCAAAGTGCAATAATTTTTTTGCTTTAATGTTCTTTTAAGTGAGCATGATAGCTTCAAGGGCAGGTCCACCCTGTCCATATTTTAAATGAATTTGCCATCTTTTAAGTAAAAAATTACTGCACCACAGAAGGATTAAATATGAAGTCACAGTACCTATGACTTTATAAAAACAATAATTTTACTCTTACCATGTACAGCAATATACATGTCCAGTCTAGAGAATTGCATTATAAAGCAATCGGTTCTTTAAGCTAAAGGAGAACAATTTAAATTTGATTAAATGTCAGATCACTACAGTAAAGTATTGATTAAAGGAAAACAAGCTTCATATTTCAACAAGGGAGTAAAATACTCTCTTTACATATATTTTAGCTTATATTTTATAAAATTAAACCTTTGCTGATATCTCTTTTACTCTCCAACTTGTGTTTGAGCTATAAGTTGTGCAGTCAGGTGTATGTAATTGTGTTACAGCTGCTGACAGGCATAAAAGTAATTGAGATATTTCATCTCAATAGGTACACTTCCTTTTTAAATGTTTTAAAAAATAAACTCAACAGCTTTGGCCAAAATGGAACAGAACTATCTCAAATATTTTGTTTCTGCACTGAACAGCTATTAATAACTCTTTCAATCTCATTTGGCTTGTAACCTGCAAAAGATTAAACCAGTATGCTTACAGACTGAGATATTTCTAAGATTTGTCATCTTAACTTTCTGAAAGCTTTATTTTTAATTGTCCTTTGTAAGTATGATAAGAATTTTTTTATTTTTTTTTTTTCCCTATTGTTTCTCAAATTTGAGAGAAAATGAAAACTGAAAAAATGCAGGCCTTTTCATTAAAAAAAAAAATATGTAAAGTTTAGAATTAAGTTCTAACGCTGTTGATCTATGTTTTTCAGTACTTTATTGTCAAAAATGTAAAAAACATTATTTCAGTGATTTTCCTTCGAGCATTGCACCCATCAACCAGTCTCATGTGGTAGAGCTAGTTAGTATTAGAACACCAGACACTGAACAAATCCGATGATGCTCATCTCTCTTTTTCACCAGGAGTAAGGTATGGAGTGAGCAGCAAAGAGAAGTTCAGAGTGTGGAGTGAGTTTCCCTAAGTGATGGCACAGTGTTTGGAATTTATGGCAAAACTGTAATGACTGGAGGAGTTTCTAGAGTGGGCAGGAGTGATAATTTTCATATTTTTAAAAGCCCATGAATTCATATATCTTTACACAATTTTTAATTTTAAGAAATACTTTCAAAAGAAGAGCTTTAACCACTACAAGTAAAATCAGAAAGCAAATGCAAAGAGCTGCAAAATGCGTCTATCAGATACATGTTTTTAGGTGTGCATGAGAACTGCTGAATCACAACCTGAACCTCTGATTGATCACCTGAGGTGAGCAATGAGTCAGCCACAGGAGCACAGGTGAAGGCAATTCACCTGTGCTGCTGAAAGGGGTGGAGCCTGGCTCCACTGCTCCTAGAACCATTTAAGAGCTGGCTACCAGGGGGGAAATGACCTTTTCTGGAGGTTTGCTCTGCTGGAGTTTCATAAATGAGCCCAGGATGTGGGTAAGTGTTCTATCTATTTTCTTTTTGCTATTATAACCTGCTTTTCCTAACTCTCTTGTTAATTTCATAATTATAACATCTTAATATTCATTGATTATACAAGGTGATATGTCTTTCGTGTGAATTTGAAAGTTTGGTTTTAGTAATATTATAAAGTTGCCAGGTTTTCTGATGTGTACTTAGACAAAAACACGAGGACTAATAGGTAGATAGAGATGAGAGCTAATTTAAGGCTGACAAATACAAAAAAAGTAAATTGTGGCTCTTACTTTGTTTCCCAGGATTAGTCATTTAAAAAGGTAATGGCAATGTGGTGGTACAAATTACTGGTTAATGGCCAAGTTGGAAACCTGGAGAATAGCACTGTGAGCTAAGAATATGTAATAAAGTAGGTAATATGTTTTGTTTTGTCTTTTAATGTGAGACTTTTAAGCTCAAAAGATGACTGACAGTTTATAATTACTAAACAGTTTTTCTCAGAATTTGTTTTAAAAGCCAACAAAAAGGTGCAGAAGTTATTTTGGAGCATTGAACATACGAGAAGATTTCAGTTTAACAGAGTTCCACTTTAGAATGCTATTCAAAAAGGCTAAATGTTTTAGAATAATTTAGATATTTATGCTTTTAATTAAGTAATCTACTGTGGCGAGTGTTCTCGGGTATTTCAGTAAAACATTTTGACAACTTTTGTACTGAAGATCATGAGGAGAGTTTGTGTATGTTAATAAGTGTAATGTTGATACACTACACTTGCACAGCTCAATGCAAGGTAACACATATGGAAGTTCCTATTCATGATCAACAGCAAAACTTCCTGGTTTCAGATTTTTGTTTTGCTTTGTTTTGTTTTTGTCCTTTAAGAATGAGGAAAAACATTCAGAGTTCTAGTGTTTAGGTTGTATATTCGTTCTTTGACCCTGGAAGAAAGAAATATAATAATTAACAATTCAGTCGGACACATATACAAGTGATTTGAAAGGCCACAGTCTAGTAGGATTCAAATTATTTGCTGGCTGCACATAGGTCACTTTAGATGTGCTTGTGCGAAAATCCCTGTGTGTTTAGCTGAGGGATGCAAGGCGATAGCAGTGCCAGGAAAGTCAGCCAACCTGGTGTCGTGCTGAGACTCTTAGCAGCTTCTGTCCTTGCTAACTCAAGCATCTCTGCAGTGCATTTCATTTCATAGTGGGGATGTGTCCAGCTGTGAAAGCAACTGAAGGATATATATCCTGTATCCATATCTATCTTTGCCTTTCCTGGATGTGTAACATAGGACTTTTAGGATGTGGGGACACTTACAGACTATGTTTTCATGCTTTAACTGACTTTAGAGAGTCACGCCATATTTTAATAAAAGAATAAAGTTTAAAATGTTCAACAGAATCTGAAGAAGATGTACATAGTTCTTAATTATTTTCTCATCGTCTGCTAATTAGGAAATACAAAACTAATGGAGTATATCATACCAGCAAGAATCCTTTCAATGAGTGAAGTATTAATACAGTTTTGTGGGGGATAAAGGTACTTGGATTAATTGTGTGTGTGCCAGCAGTCTATTAATACGTACTTTGTTCTATGTCTGGGACATACAGAACCTGTGAGATATGAGCTGCACCAGTAGCCTAAATGTGTATGATGAATCCTCATGGAGAGTTTTCAGACATTCTGCTACTTCTGCAGAAATCTTGGACAAACGCTGTGAAGCTGCTTTTATTGTAGTTCCTTTCTATCCACAGTTCTCTCACCTTCCTCAAAAAATAATAATCTGATTCCCCCTCTTTGGTTTCCAAGTATTGTTATTGCAAATTGTTTACTAGTGCGGCAGTCTACTTAACCTGTTCACTCTACAAGTGCTTTCTATGCCTACTGCTAAAATCATGGTATTTCTCTACTAGCCTTAGACTGCTCATTTAAAAACGTTGCACTGAGAATGAAGATGCATTCAGCTTTTGCCCAGATCCTGACATCTTAAAACAGTAAACCTTTTACTCTTTTGAGACATACATTTTCCATCTCCTCTGTGTAGTTCTGCACATTCTTGTTTACAAGTAATCTTGTATGGGGAAGTGGGAAAACAGTGATAGTGCGTACAAAAGCTAACTTGAGAAATCTGGGATTGTTTATTTAACCATTTTGTTACTATATTCTATTGTTATATTGTATTTGATATTAACTATTATATCAGTTTGTTCTCTCCATATTAACTAGAAAAGAATGATTATATACAGAAACAGACTTCTCAATCTAAAAATTATTCTTAATACTCATAATGTAAAATTATTTCTAGTGCTTTTGGAGAGAGAGAATACAGAAAAACCTTTGCAATGTTTAATTTACAATATCAGTTAAACAGTTTACAGTGTCAGATTGAGAGGGCACATCACTAAAAGTACTAGGCCTATTTTTTACGTGAACAGTCAACTTCATGAAGTTTCTGAATGTGCTGGTTTTCACGAACCCACCCTAGAGCTACTTGTGTACCCTAAGTATAGTGGATTTGTTGAACAGGTACAAACTACCCCCGCAGTGAAATTTGGAGTGAACATCTCTGAGCAGAACCTGAGAAATGTCAAAGAATCATTGAATGATTTAGGTCAGCAGGGATATGAGGACTTGTGGTTCAAACCTTTTCTTTTCTTTAAACTAGGGGTGTCTTTGAACACTTGTTTACAATTCTAGACCAGTGTCTGAAGTCTTCTAATTCTGTTCGGATTAAGTCTGCGAGAAAAAAACACAGTGCTGTGTCTAGGCAACTCAGACCTACAAAAGTCATTACAAAAAGAGAAAATGGGAGAAAATAACATTAGTGATCATTAGTAAAGCTAACACGGAATTGGGTGCCTGAATTTAGCTAATTATTTCAAAATGTTTTACAGCTTAATTAACTTAGATCACTCCAGTGGGGATTTGTTGTGAACAGCAGACTCAATCCTGCATTCAGTCCATTAGCTAAGGTATCTTTTTCTTATGAATAGTGTTGTTTACATTTCTGTAGACTTACTCACAGTGGGAACACAAGCTATATGGAAACTGAAAGACTGTAGGGAAGGAGATAATGTAAGTATTGGAAGTCTGTCTTCTTCCAGCAGTCTAGAGGAGAGCCCATAATTAATTTGTAGTTACTTGAACAGATAAATATAACAAGTGCTTGTACTGAGGTGGCAAAAAGTTTGCATTTTAACATTCCTGGATGTGTGCTTGTCAGAAATTCTGCTTTCAAGATGCATTCTGTAATTATTGTTATCATAGAAGTGTAGAATCACAGAAAGGCTTAGGTTGGAGGGGACCTTAAAGATCAACTCGTCCCAACTCCCTACCGTAAGCAGGGTTGCAAGCCACTAGATCAGGATGCCTAGGATTCCATGCCTGGACTTGGATCCCTTCAGAGATGGGGCATCCACAAACTCTTTGGGCAGCCTATGCCAGCACCTCATCACCCTCTGAGTAAAAAATTTCTACCTAAAATCATAAGAATCTGATGATATAAATCTACTATAAATCTAAATCATAAAAAACCTAAAATCATTGATATTACCTCTTTTATTGTGAAGCGATTTCCCCTTGTTCTATTACTGTCAGACCATCTAAAAAGTCACTTCCCTTGCTGCTTGTAAGCTCCCTTCAACTATTGGAAGGCCATACTTATGTCTCCCTGGAGTCTTCTCCAGCCTAAACAATCATAACTCCTTTAGCTTTTCTTCATAGAAGTGCTCCAGTCCCCTGATCATCTTTGTTGCCCTTCACTGGACCTGTTCCACAGCTTCACATCCCTACTGTAATGGGGCTCTCTGGCTTGGACACAGTATTCCAGATAGAAGCTCAGAAGGGCAGAGTAGAAGGGGACAGTCACCTCCTTCACCTTACTGACCACCCCTCTTGATGCAGCCAGGATGCAGTTGGTCTTCTGGGTTGCAAGCATACACTGCTGTCTCATGTTCAGCTTTTTGATATATGATAGTATTTGTGGAGGTACTTTTATCAGAGTAAAAACAAGAAAGCATTCTCTTTAAGTTATATTTTTGTTTCAAAATTGACTAAATTAGGCAACTGATATAAATATTTTTACCAAGAGACAAATTGTAGTCAGTTTGGACCATTTGAGAAAGAATGCCAATTTACGTGAAAAATCTAAATTTATCTAAAAATTTAGATAACAGTAAAAGGGAAAAACAAGCAAACAAACTAAAATTTCAGTTAGGATCCTAGAAACTTGAACAGAAAATTCAGAGTATCTATATATTTCATGTTTTTTCCAATATGTTAAAAAAACCCCTGTCAATTATAGTTTAAGTCTCCTGGTGAAATGCTCTTCTACTGCTTCCTGCTGCCCACACTACTGTCTGCTTTGAATTCTGGCATGTATCAGCTTGGTTTTCCATTACTGACATCTCCTGACTGCACCATTTATTCAAGTGGAACCTTTTACCTCCAGAGTACGTAGCAGTAATCAGAAGAAACTGAACACCAGCTCCTATGGCAAGTTTCTGCTTGGTTGCCCCATGCAGCTGGCTCTGCTCATTATGGGTCAGCATTGCAGCTATAGAGCCAGCCAGAACTTGTGTCATGCAAGGGAGGATGTGGCCCCTTAATTTTTTTCCCTGATTTTCTTTTTTTTTTATCCACCTTGAAGCATTATTATTTCATGAATGGGTTATTTTCCATCGAGTACTGGCAGTCCTGACATTGATAGGCAGTGAATCAATACTGTTATAGAATGATGAAGCCGAACTTGTTCAACAGATTCACAGTGTGCCTGATGTGGTTATTCATTCTGGATGCAATAACTGCAATTTGAAGAATACCCCCACAGGCTCTGACTGCATGCTTTATGAAAATCATAATGAATAATTTAATTAAGAAAGAAGAAGCTGCGTTGCTCTATTTTTAAAAGAAAAATTCACCCAACATGTTTTTTTCATTTTCAGCCTATAATAGCAATAACTATCTTTAGCTGAGAACATTTCCTGGGGCTTAATGGCCCATAGCTGTACTTCTTCAGGTGATCATCATCTCCCAGCAGTCATTAATCCCCTACAAATGCCCTGCATTTCAGTCATTAAATGTGCTTAAGAATGCTTCTGAAAATGAAATACTTCTATATTTAATGTGTCTTCCAGGAATAGAAGTGATCTTTTGAGGTGAGGAATGAAATGAGTTTAGTAGCGTGTCAGAAGTACTGATTTTGACAAGTGGATAAGATCTGTTTCTCAAGCTAGCATGACAAAGAGTTTTTCCACAGTCAGAAGATATTATCATTTTATGTGTACCACAATTCACATGGATCTCAATTGCATAACAGGCAAATCAGAAATGCAGATAGTTGTTTAAAATTGCTTTTCTCCTACATCAACATCGCAGTGTAGAAATAAAGCAAATCTCATGAAACAAGAAGAGCATGTGTCTGCAGCAGTGCTCCACTCCATAGCTGTAAAACTGAGTCATGAGGTGATATACTCAGATTTTACAAGGTACTTGTGGTAACATGAGGGGGGAAAAAAAAAAGTAAAATTTTTCTGAAACTCCAATAAACAAGTATTTTGGTGAGAATTTTATGAGCCTTTCTTAAAAATGAGACCTATAGCACTAAGTGTCATCAGAATTTCTAAATACACAGCCTATCCTTGATCCTTGGTCAATTAGAATTAAAATCTGCAGTGAGAATAGTTGAAGAGAATTTTCCTTGAAAGAGAATTTTATCGGATTGGAGCTGTGTTATTTTCATGCTAATAACTATGCAGTGTACAGATAATTTGAGATTGTACCTGTCCCAGATAGGTTGTGAGGGGGATCAGACTTCACTCCATTCAATGCAGAATTAGTATCTCTTAGGTATTATGGTCATTTTTATTTATATTGCACATTCAGATCTCATGTACTTTGATGAATGTGCAGATGAGGGCAGTAGTAAGTTTTGGAGCCATACATTTTTAAATGTTGAAAGTTAAATGATGTATATTTTAAAATTGGAGCTGTTCTAGTCAGTACTTTTATATTACAGATAAACCTGAGAAAATTATTAAACTTGAGTAAAAACAAACAAACAAACAAAAAAAAAAGTCTTAAATTTGAATTTTCTGTCCCTTCAAACAAACAAAAGAAATCACCTGGACGAAATACCTTCTAGGAAATTTGGTTGTTAATTCAGTTTATGTTCAATAAACCATGACTGTCATATTCTTGAAAACTTTATTCCAAATGTGAAACTTATATCAGAGCTTTTAAAAAACAACATTTCACATACACATGCAAAGTGTATCATCCTCTACTTGTGTAGACAAAGCTATTACCTGAATTAGATTCAACCCTGCAAATATTCCCACTTATCCTCAAGGGGTTTTTAGCAAGCAAACTAATAATAATAATAATTACAAAATGCAGATTTCTTATTAAACTTCACTGGCTAATGAAAAATGCACGGAACAAAGGAAAACACTATTTTTCCTAAATTATTTCAAATCAAGTTTATATCTCAACACAGCTGTTGGGGAATAAGTGTCTATCTAAAGTACCGCAACCGGGATATCTCATTTACCATAGACTGTTTTTAAGACTACTTTAGGTGTTTATATACTACCATGCAACTTGCCATGGTAGGCATCTTCAGACATTATTTGCAAGTAAATAAAATTCAACATTTTTGCACTTACCTTCTGGCACAGAAGATGTTATTGTCCTGTCTTATTGTATGTAATTCTGAGCACTCTAAATCCAACTTTTACTATGAAATAGAGAAGGTCATACAGGCTGCCAGTTACCATGTTTTGATGCCATTCAGAAAGAACAAATGGAAACAAGAAGAGTAGAAGAGTAAGAAGAGTAAGAGAAAAAGAAAGCATGTTTTCTTAAGGTGAATTTATCAGTATGCCTAGAATAGTCCTGTAATTTTCCTCCTTAGGAGTTTTGTGCTTTTATACACTCATGTTTACAGATAAATATAATTTTTAAAGTATTATGTATGTATAAAATGATAATGCCTATTTTAAATTTTGTGTTGTAGGTCTTGTTTTCCCTCTGCATTGCATTCTGGGGAATTCAAACTATGAGCCGGATTACTTCATCTAAAGATAAACATCTCTGAAAGAGCAAATATGACACCACTTGAATTATGGAAACAATGCTTTGGAATAACCTACGTTCTTTGGAATTAATCAGCTATGACTCCTACTGAATCATAGTCATTTTACATATGATAGAAGGGGTTTGGTTTCATATGAAGATTTGAAAGATTCATTGGAAAGTGAATTTACTTGATTTTTAAAATATTTAATTTACCTCTATTTAAATAAAATGTTCATTCATAACATTTTTTTTCAAAGTATCACCGTGTCACAGAAGCCATGTAAAACTAATAGGATTTTTCAGTATGTTTATTAGTAGTTAACCATATGTGAAAAGTATTTTCAGAATAGAAATATTTTAAAACATATTTGTAGCAATCTGGTATAAAGCAACCAGCTGATATATGAATATCAGTTTTTCCATAAGGGTCATGGTTTGGTGTTCCTAGCATACAGCTACATGAGGATGTATAGTTGAGGCAAGACAATTATTAAAAACAGCATGATAAAATATCTCAAAATAGTTGAAATATCTCAAACAAGTTGAAATATCTTCAGGAAAGTTGACAGATATATGCATTTTTATAACGCAGGCTTTCAGTTTGGACTGAGTTATTTAAGGAGTACACCTGCAATTGCCAACCTTAGATATGATCAAGCCAGCACTTGCACACAAGTATCCCATTGACTAATGTTACTCACATGACAAAATATTTGTAAGGCTGGGCCCTTAATTCCTCATAATTTCCTGTGGAGGTGATCTCAGGGGAGATGCACATCTTTCAGGAGCTGCTGGAAAGATGGTTTCTACTAAGATAGGAAAATTAAATACAAATGGTAAAGGGAGTCTCCAAACAGCAGGACTGGCAAAAATACTGGAGCTAGGTTGTTTTTCTTTCCTTGTGCTCTTCCAACTTCTACTTGGCTCCAGAACTTTTAGTAGTGTTTAAAGTCAAGTTGCTAAAAACTGCAAGCTCTCTTGCATGCTTCAAGCTAACAATAATACTTGAATTAAAAATGGGATGCTTTTGTTTTTCTTTTATTCCAGTTTCTTTTAGGATAGTAAGGGCATGCTAACCAACTTCACATATGAAGCAAGCCTATTTTTAATTAATGCACCTTTTCAGTCTTAAGCCATAAAAGATGCCACAGACTATGTAACTGGATGTTTCCGGTAAGTCATCATTCAGACATTGAAGTTATATTAATGAAATTGCAGTGTTTTAAGTCACTCTGTATTTAGATCAAGTGACTTTTGCCCATCACTTTAGAGTCTGAAATGTTCAACTGAGGAAATTAGGTGTTTGTTCAATTAGATGTACTAAGATCTGGGCTGCAAAGTAAGGATGATACCTTCTTAACTTTAAGGCACGTTTAAATGAAAGATTTACTTGTGGATCATCTTCACTGTAAATAATGAGAAGATAAAAAAAAAAAAAAAGCCCCATGAAAGCAATGAAAGTAATTATATTTAAAGTACTTATTTAAAAGTTTAAACATTTACTCATAACCTGGTATAAGTAAATGTACAAGTAAATTTAAGAAATAAGTAGATACAATTGTATACCCCTGAATACAATCTCATGATTAACATATTTGTGCAGCCAGGAGTTCTACTGTTTTCTGACCAAAACTTACCATATCTTTGCCTGAATTTTCCCATCTGTGGGATCACAGTGATGGTAGTAATGATTGTGTCTCTTACCATAAGTGAAGTACGAAATTTGGATTGTTTGAATAAAAAATTATTAGACATTTAAGAAAATGGCAGAATCTGATTCCAGAGGTACAACATGATCAACTAAAGTTTTAATTTACTTCTGAAGTTGTACACCTATACTTTAAAAATTTGTAGCAGTGACATCAACATTACCTCAAAAAAAATTGAGGTGAATTTAGTGACAGTAGTATAATAAACAGAATAATTAGTTAATATCTTCTAGTTTTTTCTTGGTCAGCTGAGGTAAAACTCCATGTGTCTGTATTTTTTTTTTCTGCAATGAAGTTTCAACTTTATGTGTTACCAGTTGTTCTTAAGACACTGAAAATCTGCATTTAAAAATCCATAGCCTTTGAAGGAAAATAGTGAAGATCTAAATTAAATTTTAAAGATATCATAATTAATTTCATTAACTTACATGAAGTAATCAAAGGAATGAGATTTCAAAAGTAAATTCAGATTGAGATACACATCTCATGCCTATCAGTTTTCAGAGATGTTTGGACAAAGCCCTCACTAATATGCTTTAATTCAGCTCTGAAGAGGTCACACAGTTGGGCTAGATGATCTTTGAAGTCCCGCTCCTAGACCTAGAATAGAACTATACTATTCTGTATAAATCACTATTTTCTTATTCTATCATTTGCCTACAAAAAAATGACAAAATACAGATAACTGACAAATACAGAAGGCACAGTAGTTTAAGTAATATGTTATTCCAGAGACAGCAGTTGTATCTGTATGGGGTCCATTCTAATAAATATGTGAAATACAGACATGAGATAATGTGTATAATGTATCTTAGAGATACTGAACTCTACAGAAGCCTTACTTTTTTTTACCTTTAAAGTCACTTCTCAGCTTGATGGGAATTTGGAAATGAAACATTCCTCTGTTCGCCAGCCCAATTTGGCCAAATTTTCTGAGGCTACCTACCACTGTGAATATCTTACATGTCTAAAAGGGCTGAGTCCCTTTTAAAAACTTGTAAATCAGTCATTAAAAGAGAGGCCAAATTCATTTCCTCTTTCCAAGAAATTTTAAACTTGTTTCCTACTTCCAAGGACTGTTGCCATTGTGTTTATTTTATCTGAAAGTATGGTACAGGAGAGGAGCAACTTGAGACAATGATTCCTATGGCTGGAGAGTCAAAGAAGCTCATTGTATTGGATATCCCAGTGTCCTGTATTTTATAGCAAAGTCTACTATGTATGTATAAACAATTCTTTGGTTACAGAATGGAATTTAGAGTTTGCCTTTACCAGAAAAGAGTTTCATGGACAGGCTTGTGGAAACACTCTCGACTGCATCATTCTCCTGTTAGCTATGTGATAGGTAGCTATATCCCTGTTAAGCTGCTTCTCATAATTTTATTATAGGAACTATTTTAATTTTTGGTTACCTTAAACCTTAGATCTAGTTCTAGAACTTGGATCTAGTTCTACTGTCTCTATTTTTGAATTATCAAGAGGCTCTTCAAGACAGCTGGCTAGTGAATTGAATTATGGATTGTTAATATATTACGTAACATTAATTAAATGAATTAAATTCTGACTACAAACATTGCTTATCATTAGGATATATCTTCTTTCCGCACATTTTTAAGATTTCATGGCTTATTTATTTGTCTACACTGTTTAGTTCCAACAATTGTAGGATAATTATATGAGAGTATAAGTGAGCAAAATGTTTTTATTGTTTAACAGATGTTATGCAAGTAACTTTTTCTTTTAGAGATCCACTGTTCTATATCTCTGGAAGCAATAATGTTCTGCAAGCAAAAGCCCTAGTATCACGTGTCCAAGTCAGAAACATGATTGCATTTATAGTATATGCAGTATTGCTTAAGACTTCAATTTGGTTTTGTTTATCTTTAAAATTCACACCTTTGGGAGAACACCAACAATCAACAGAATCTTCTTTTTCTTTCAACAAGAGATTTAAACAGTGACTTCCCTTACTCTTTCCAGCTGTTGTCACATCCTTACACAAGCCCTTGCCCAAAGTTTGTACACATCAGTATCGTGTTAACTAAAAATCCAGAGGTAAACAGCTGAATCCTTTGTTCCCTTCACACCTGCCTTTGCCACTGAAGTCACTGAAACTTTTGTTGCTGTCCTTCGTATTGGAACATTCCCTATGTAGAAACAAGAGTGTTGCAATATTCACTGCAACTCAAGCTTTGGTACAGTGCATTAATTAAAAGCAGTGTAGTTGCACAGCTACTTGTTCCTGTAAGCTGCTGCATGGTTTTCTTTGTGCAGTGTTAAAATCAGAGTTGATAGGGGGAAAAACAGTGAAGTTACAGCTGCGTGTTCTACATTGCAGTTAGTAAGCTGCTTCACTCAAGTCTGCGGGATTATGGGCATTGTTTCTTAAAATTTTCTAAAAGAAAGGAACTGATCACATGACATATTTTGAAGTTTCTCTTTAAAGGCAAACAAAGACATATTTCTCTGAGCTTTCAGGATTTCATATTACATAATTAGTACAAGGCTGAGTGGCGCTGAAGTGTAAGAGTTGTTCAGAATTTTCTTATTAGATCTTTAGGTTTTAGTACATAGAGCTGTGACTCAGACATGAAATTCATTAGGGAGAGCAAAAAATAATTAAAGCATTACTTTAATTGTATCTTGCAATATTATGCAAACGATGTTGCCCATAGATTGTTTTCATTAAACTCTGCCTTTGGAATCGTATAATTGCTGATTTTATTTTGTTTTGCTTTAATTATTTACTTTTATTATGGAATGTTTCTAAGTGCAGAAAGCAAGCCATAGATGTTTCAAAATCTAAAAGACAGATAATAAGATTTTAGCAAATAATATTTTAAAATACTTTCCTTTTTAAACTAGTAATTACTTGAGGCTTGACTAGTGAACTCTTGGTATAGCTAATGCTGAAAATGGGAATGGGAAAGTGGAAAAAAATATTCTTGGTCACTCCTTTTTCCATGCTTTTCATACTTATGTATGAGAAAATATAACAAGGCAGAGTTTTCTTGGGTTTCCTGGTTCTCTGCTTGTATTTAGGCTATTAAGTTTGGGATTAAAACAAAATGATCCAAAGAACAAACACTTAAAGGGCCCAGGGCCCACTACTCTAAGCCATAGTGCATCATGTAGCCTCTCACTCCTACCAGGTGTGTTCAGTGCAAGCAAGATATAAATTATATAGCAAGAGATAATTTGTATACTTCAGGATTGTATGTTTCTGAAAAGAAAATGAGCGTAAAAATACAGAGTTTAAGATGCAAACCACAAGGTAAAGCAAAATTAGATATCTCACATATTGGAGCAGGCTTCCATATTAATAGGGCCAATGGAAAACTTGGCTCAATCCTTTGTCATTTTTGCCCCACCTATGGAAAACAGCAGAAAAATGTGGAAACATTGAGTAAGAATGAACTGCTGAGTGTCCTTGTGTTTATAGTTTGGCAAAGAAAAGTGACACAAAATGAATCCTCCTCTCCCTCCCCTTTCTATATTTTTATGCTTCATCCTTTATTTCAGCCTGTCTCTTCCCCTCCTGTGTTTATTTATCAGAGCAAAAAAAAAAAGTCTTTCTTTTTTTTTATCAGTTGGGTGTTATGTTTTTTTTGTTTCTTTTCTCAATGTGTAGATCAACCCAACGATACATTTCGTACCCACGGGGAAAGTTATGTTTTTTATTGATGAAAGCCAAATATATTTATCTATAGATGACTACTTTACTATTCTTATTAGTCAATATTATATTCATCTGTTAATCAAAACACACAGTATGATGCTAATATATTTTAAATGTTACATTTATTTCTTTTATGTATGTCTGCCTAGCTTCCTCTAATGAGTCATTTTCTAATTCCATGCCAGTAACATAGCACAGACCTTTTTCCATTTTCTACTCCCTTTACTGATTCTTTGTTACTAATTCCTTCCTTTTTCTTTTTTTTTCTCTCATCAGTGCTGTGCTTTAGCTATCAATGGATGTCTTTGCCTTAGGAAGTACTACTGCAGTTTTTATGCACTATATTTTAACCTACTGATTTTAGTGTAGTGGAGAAAGAGTCCAGTAGTAATAATGCTTGATTAAACAGAGTTTGAATGAAGAAAATCATGGAATATTTCAAACACTATGGAATTTATGATGATTTTGCTACTTGGATTTTTCCATAAACCTTGAACATGTATACTTATCTGCACGTAAATTACAATTATAGAAATATTTGCCAAGAAATAAAAATACCATGTGAAGACAATTGAATCACATTTTTTAGATTGAAGAGTAACCTATTAACTTACTGTGTGTGATCATGTCTCATGATGGTGTCTATCTGCATTGAGGTCACGAGCCTGTTTTTTTAATGGCAGTGCTTCTCTGCTTCAAGTAGCAGCTTTTGTGCTTTCAGTTCTGACAGCCTTTTACCTTCTCTCCACTTATGACTCATAGCTGACTCATTACCTTTAATCATTCTGAAAGAACAGATTTTATTTTTACTCTTCTGTTAATCACAGTGCAAGAAAATGCTTTGAGAGAGGGTGAGGTGTTTAAACTGCATCATTGTAGGTACCAATATGCTTATTTCTGGAAACTCTAAGTACTCTAGTTCCCTGTGCATTACCACAAATTGAATTCCATAGTGATGTCTAATAGGGGAGCCTGGTGATCAGGGATTGGTGGGAGAAATAAAAGGGTTGATTCTGAGACTGTAACAGCAATGTTTGCCATTGAAAATCAGATCGTCTTTTATTTTCTTATATAAAAGACATTTTCCATTAAATATGGCAGTTATAAAGGAATAATGTACTTTTGTCTTCATGGCTAATAATGAGATAGCTGATTTTTTTTTTTTTTTCTGCATTAGCAGTATTTCTGTTATGAGAAAAATCTTACAGTAACTTCATGCCTATGATATTTCTTACGTACATATCACCATACCACTTAAGCAGCAGAGATTATTTGGGACATATAGAGACCCTGCTGGAACAGATTTTATCTCATGTCCTTTTTTAGCAAGGTGAAATTCGAATTTAAGATGGCCAACCTGAACTGCAGGACCAGGTTTTCCATTTGAACTTTCTATTTTTTAATGGTTTTAGCAATGAAGAGATTTCATACAGACCTCAACTGAGGTTCAATGCTGCAGAAAGAAAACAAGAAGTTCTCAATGAAACTGTGCTTTAAGTAAATGTAAACCAAATGGGTCTTCTAATCCATCGTAGGGATTTTTCTG